ATATATATTAATTCATGTATTTATAGCCATGTAGAATAGTGTATATTTCATAAAAGTACATAAACTTTGTTGAGACAATTTGTTCGGGCTGTTTAACCTTCATCGCCATTCAACAAATTAATTTACATTTCAAATATAGAACTCCATTCAATGTTGTCTCTACGGGAATTGCTGGATGGAAGACAGGGAAACGTGAATCACCCGCAAACTCCCAGAACATATCCCTACAGATTAATATCGAGCGAATAATCATGTAGAGATTAAATTAATGTTGGATTAGGTAGTTATAAATGGTTGATGAGCTCAGACTATACTTTCTCTGTGTCTCCTATGTTCAATCTTCACATAAATTACTTGGGGTAACTGATAATCTACCTAATAAACAGTGTAGAGCAAGTGTGAGCAACAATTTTCAGTTGGGATGGTTTTTTTTTTCACATCTTCTCACCCCTTAATCCTCCATATAAAGCATTTAACAAGTTTTAAGTCTGTTCATTGATTTGATAACAAAAATAGGAACCACCCAGAATTTGAAACAATGTAAATCTGACTCAGCATCACCTTAAGAAATGTCTCTAATATTGATTAAAAAGATGTATACATCATTAAAAATAACTGCTTAAAAACATTACAATCTTGAACATTTCCAACAGAAATAATTACTTACTTTGTTATCAATGGATTGCGTCCACAAGAACTATACAAAGTGTATTAGGTTCATAATCAAATGCTTGTAGCATAAAATTTGTGATCTACCAGGTACTGTCCCTACATTCTTTTGTATTCCAGATTGCTTAACTTTCAATGTGTATTGTTAATCTATTATGATCTATATTTTCAAATTTTCCAAGTGACTGGTGAACCATAGATCCTATTCCCATATCCTTTTCCAATAGCTGGGAATTTTATAACATAAATAAAAGGTAACATAGGCTTCATAAACCTTAACTATTGTGGTATTGCCGTTGGTATAGTAAAGTTGTTTGTTTACTGTATATAATCCTTTGTCAAATCTGTATACTGGAATACAAGATTATATACCTTTCTCATAAAGATTGAATGGGAGTCCCACTGTATTTAAATGTCTAAATAAAAGATGCTCTTTCTATAAAATCAATCTTCTCAATGGAATATTCTTAGGCAAGACTTATTTATACCTTGTTTTTGCAAACTTTTTTTTTAAAGATCATTAGAGGTGGGTGGAAAAAACATATTTTTTTAGTCAACTTAAAAAAGGTAATGAATAATACTCAATATTATTAACATGTTTGATGCATCACCAAGGCCTATTAAATTGAATGGTGAATCCATGCCATATATTTAACTGTATTCTTTATGTTAAACTATAGGAGGTGAGAGTCCTTGATATACTGTAAACTCAAAGATTATATTAATGTTTCCTCTTCATAGTTATTATTAGATGGGTCCCTTCACCTGAAAAATGAATAATGTTTTCCTAGAACCAGTTGGAATC